TATAGACGGGTAGACTCAATTTAGGTTCACCTCACACGATCACTGGAATATATGATATACACTAACGAAGAAAAATTCTTATATGTGAATCGCCAATCGAGCTGATGATCTGTTCATGAGTGAGGCTCGACGAGACTGGTTAAAGCATAGAAGGGGTTCGTTCGCATACTTTTCTCAATCATTACCGTTGTATAGAATATGTTTATGTATGACAAGATATTCAAGAAAAACTCGAATGATGATATCGCATATTAAAATTTCATCTACAGACAGTTCTGGTCGCATGATAAGGTTAGAAAACTAATTCTTCTCAACATTTGATATCTCAAGAAGAATACGATCTTTTTGGCTTAAACTATTAGAACATTCTAATAACTACGACATCTGTCTATAAGCAAAATTTAAGATCGAAATATTATCATTCTAGGTCTTCATGAATGCCTGTGTTTCAGATAAAAAAATTCAGTACAAGAATAATAATTCAGGGAAGGACAGCGCATGGGAACAAATTCTTCTTGACAGTCATCAGTCTCATCGCATTCTACTGATGGACAAAACATCAGTTCGATAGATGATTAACACTTGGGAACTTGTCCTTGCAAGACTTCAAATTGTCTTTATTGTGCTTAAGTGTGTTCAATATTGTTTCCTAGTACCCATACATAGACTTTATATTTCAAGAATATCTATAGTAATTATGGCTCCGCGTGAAATGAGACAATCCTATTCTGTAGGACGAAAAATATTTGAGAATTATATTGAGTATACTTGTAATATATTTTTCCTTATTTGTATTGCTGATAATGAAATAGATTGAGATTATTTAATCTACTATACTCACACTTGATATTCAGCGAAAATAAAATATTAATTTGTAAACTTGTCATTTTTCAGAACTAAATCTTCGATATGGCTTTTGTGTACAAATTAAGAATATCGGAATTAGAATTATGTCATTGTTATATTAAAAATTTTTTGAATGCTAAGGCACCTGGAAACTAAGAGTGATAGAATAATTGATTCCTATCAAATATTTTCTTGATAATAATCCGAGAAGGTAAAAACTTTTCAATGATCATTATACAACAAAAATGTTGATTTAGTAAATACACTATGTATGTTGTTGAGTTCATTTTTTCTAGTTGTTCTTGTATTAGATTTACTATGAGACTATAATTCGATAATAACTACATTATAGTCATCGTCAAAATTATTCTTACGGTCGATAAAATCAATTCTTTTTCTATGTCTCTGACATATCTAAGAAACCAATTATAACACGATCAAGCTGCTATGTAAAAGCTATGGCCTTGTCTACACTAGAAAAATAATTCGGTATTAATTTCGAATTAAATCTACATGCGTCTACACTTATGAATTTAATGCATCAATCAGAACTGAGAAATAGCCACTACTATAATGTAGTCGAAGTGCATAATTCTAGCATGTATTCACGAACAAAACTATGTCGCTTCTCTTTCTCATTAATCCTTATGGTTCATCGTATTGAAAACATCTATCTATCGATAATAAAAAAAACGACTTTATCGAGATTCGTTCATCATTTTGATTAGTGGATCGCAGTCTTTCTCAATTGGTGCATTACATCTGAATTAACTTTGCAACCAATTAAGTTCCTTAATTCGGTATTAAATGGTCTAGTGTAGACAAGGTCTTAATGCAAAAAATATAGCGATATAATATTATTCAACATCACTCTGTTCAAATAGAACAGAGAAAATGCAAAAAGAGCTTATTCAACAAAGTTCAATTAGAATACTTTAGATTGTTTTTTTTCCTTCATCTGTATCGAACCGAATTAAATCAACTTTTTCTTATTGTATAATATAGAACGAATGAATTTTTCATGAAGAACTATGTTTAATCATTGCAATAAAATAATAACGATTCTTATCAGAATATAAATAAATCTAGCGAATTGATTTTACTTTAAAAGAAAAATATTTCAAAAACATAATAATCAGAATTACTCGCGTTTACCAGCTACAGTGATCAAAGTTCTACATCACTAGCGTCTATGAATCTTATATTTCGAATTAAATCGTATCCATTATGCAAATATTTATAAACAATATACAATTTATGCAGTGTCTTATTTATACAAAAAACCTATGTATTATTAATCTAGAAAAGATATATTAAGAAAAAAACAGCAATAAATTTATGCATATGCTTAGTTTCTTTTGATTGAAGATTGATGTATAGTATCATTTATCTTTTGTGTAACCATTGTGTATTTGTGCAACAAGAAAAAATTGACTTAGAAAAAGAAATCTTTATTATTTTATTTTTCTCATTCTTTTATATTTGCTTCTGTTAATGTCGTTTTGTTATTGTCATGCATATGTTTCTTGGTAATAGAAATAATATGTCTCATAGGAATTTTCTTATGACATTTCGGTTATAATAAATAATCATATTTTGATTTGAAATATTTTTGAAATATTCGACAATAAAATAAAATACATGGACAAAAGATAATAACGAAAAGAATAATGATAAGAATTGTAATAGTATATTTATCACTTTTTAAAGAATAATTTTCATTAGAAATTGTTTTATTCATTATTTAATAAGAAAATAAAAAACTTTCTTTACTAAGAAAAGAAAAGCGCAAAATAAATTCATTCTTATGAGAACTTCTGATTTAAGTAATAATAAGCAAACTAAACTGTAGAACGTTATGAATATTTAGTTTTTCTAAACATCATATTTAGACAAAACATCGGATGAAAATATTACTGTCATTTTAGTTTTACTTGTGCACTCATATGCATGCAGCGGAACCAAAAGGTTTGGATAGGGCCCAATATTTGTTTCTCGTTCTATTAGATTGATAGATTCATGCAGCATACCGAAATTATGGTACACACAACCAAATTTTTCGCCACCTTCAGTGGTAAATAGTAACATTAAAGTAAACTGAGACAATGCTTTTGAGAAAACATTAAATTTCGTATGACTCAATGTTAAGTCTTGTATTGTCACTCACCTAAAAGAGTTTTCCTTTGTTAGAAGTAACGAAGAACTGTATGGAAAATTCTAGTTAGATAAGCTGCGAGCTGCTAAAAGATTTCTTCGTCTTCAGATGTCCCCTTCCAATTTTCACGATTTTTTTTTGTCTGTAGATACTATATAGTGTTCTAATAGAAACTTTAAAAGGATTTGGTTTTCTATTGAAATGTGACTAAGCTATCGAATTTTGATTTGAAACTTTGCCCATATTGAGAGCTCAACTAGACTAGCTTCCATAAAAAATTCAGAAGTTTTAAACAAAGTCTCTTATGAATAGTATATACAACATACATTTTTTTGAAAGCTTCATATTTCAAAGAGACTTTATTCAAAACTTCTGAATTTTTTTATGGAAACTAGACTGGTTAAGTTTTCCACATGTGCAAAATTTCAGATCGATATTCAAAAATACAAGTTTTCCGAAATCCTAGAGCCTCTAGAAAATAGACATATATAAAATTCGATAGCTCAGTCAAATCTCAATAGGAACCGAAATTCTTTTAGGATTTTTATTAGAACACTATGTAGTATCAATAGGTAAAAAATCATTGAAATTGAATGGGAAAGAGTCGAAATTAAATAAGAACAAATGTTGATGTGTTTCTTTAAGTGCACTTTTTTTTGGACATAAGTTGCAATTTTTTTCTGAACCATACTGGCTATCTACAATGTCAAATGTGAATTCCAAATCAAAAGTACAAGCTGCGTTTCATTGAATAGCATAAAAGAATTATCGCTCTCTCCTCGTCTTTCCAATTCCTAATATCCTGATGGAGAGTCTTATGAAGATTGTCGAGCGTACCATAAGTTCAAAATAGCTCGCCGCTTATGCTTTTACTAAATAAACCAGTAATGAGACTATACAAACGAATGATAGATTATTTTTATTTGTCAAAATTGATTAGGACTCTTGTTTTCAATGTTCAAACGATTATAAGAATTTCTTCATGTTTTCAGACTTACAAGCACTATAAACATAAATAACCACGTTTATATAAGCGTATCAAACTGTAACTAATTTTATATTTATCTGAATGAAATCTTTATTAGAATCCATTACATTTTGCATGGCGTATATAGTATATAACTAAATGTTTATCTATTGAGCTTTTGTTAATTAGTAGAAGCAGAACAACATAAATATAGAATGTTGTTTTTATTATCAATGTGATATTTCTGCTTACAAAATAAATAGTTCGCCGTCTGACATAAAGAGCTAATTAGAGAATTATATGATTATCGTAGTTTGTAAAGTTTTATAAAAGAAACTTTCCTGTTATCAAATTTCTTTTGAAAACCAAGTAATCGTATATCGATCTGTTATCTAAACAAGGTCCACAAAATAGTATAAGCTCTAGATAGAACCATGTAACTTTTCAGAAATAAATTCCTCTAATTAAATCCTGTAATACTTCATACGAACATTATTCCAATAATTTTTCATTTATAATCATAAAAAGATTTTAATCTATTCAATCAGGTCAAAACAACATGTATAACTAATAGATATTATTTCTACCATTATACCCTATGACATAGTTATATGTCATCAACCTACAATGACCTCTTAGATAGAATATCTGTTACTTGGAAATAATCACAGGAGACCGGATGGTAAACATTATACGCCAATTTCCTAGCTGGATAATTGCCTAACTATGTAAAATTTCAATCCAATTATAGTTTATGTATTTAGGTAAAACGATTGACATACTTTCGGAAAAAAAAAAGAATTTTTTAAGAACTGATTAGATTTTGTTCATTAGCCTAATAGTCATAATTGTTTTAATTTATTCATCCTATTTCGATATATTATTGAAGACTTTTGTTTTTATGATTGTTGTAAACTTGTATCGAAAAATAGAAGTTTGATAAAACTATGCAAATTTCGTAAAACATTCAGATGT